GTGTGTCAACTGCTCATCACTTTGAAAGGGATGAAGGCAACAGAGCAGAACTCTGTCTTCCAGAAAGAGCTTTTTTGGCAGGGATGCTGTATACAGTCACTCTGGTTGCTTTAGAAATCATCATTCATAGAGGATAGAAAGGAAATGCAGCAGTCAGGCAAGCACCAGAACACATAGGAGCAGAGGTGCAATATCTGCACTAAATTCCAGTCAGAGCAAGTTCCTCCTGAGACAGAGCAGAACTTGCCTCATGTGGCTTCCAGAACAAGGAAAGATGTGACAAATGACTGATACAATGCCCTGTGAGAGACATCTCTCCAAGGGCAGGCTGGTGTGCTCCTGTGCTCATGTTGCTATGGCCTTTCCCTTGTGTTTTAAAGTTATATTTTGATCTAGAAGCAGTTTGAGATAAATAGATTTGTCTGAATTGGCACAGGAGGACCCAAAGTTGCAGTAGGCAAGAGTAAGGATAGTGGCTGACTCCCTCCCTCCCCCGCCCTGCTTGTAAATGCAGTGTCTCTGTAAATAGTTCTTTTACAAAAGAGCTAAGTTACCCTTAGCAGTTAGAAGCAAGGAACTTTTCTGTTGTCATTTAGCAAATGCTCTATGAAACACACTGGAGCAGAGAGATTGGTAAAACCAACAGCAAAGAGGGTGGGATTAAAACATAAACCCAAAAGCTAGAAACTCCAAATTTGCAAAACACGTTATAGATAAACCAGGTGAATTAGTTTACATGTGAAAAACTTTACATGTATGGAAACAAACCCTGAGGTTATGCATAATAATAGGTTTAAAAATGTTTTTCAGGAGAATAAACTATTTTTTCCACTTTCACTCTGGAAAAGGAGGTTAAAAAAAAGAAACAGTGAAGCCTAAAATATCAAAGCAAATGAAAATATTTGTTTCCTGAGTGTCCCTGCACACAATGAACTGGCAGAAAGACAATCATTTTCATGAAAAACAAGCAGCAGAAGTGGTAATTAACGCCTCTGTTAAAGACAGCATTAATACATCACCTTGGAGATGGTACAGCTTTCTAAATTAAAGAGATCCTTGTGCACATACTGTTTAATGTCTTTATCGATGACATGGGCAATAGGACAGAGTACACTCTAAACAAGTTTGCGGACAATGGAGGGTTGCCTTCCCCTCTCTTAGGGGAGACTGCATCTGGAATACCAGGCCCAGTAAAAGACAGACATTGGTTTAGTGGAGTGAGCCCAGAAGAGGCCACAAAACTGGTCAGGGGAAGGCGCACGAGATGCACAAGGAGAGGCTGAAGAGGTGGGATCTGTTTAGCTGGAAGAAGAGAAGACAAAAGGACAGCCCATGCCAGACAGCCAAACCATGAGGAAGATCCAGGGCTTCTGCCCCACAGAAGGCTTCCCCAGTGCTGGGATCCCAGGCTGAAGGCCAACACAGAAGATATAACCCCAACCTTGTTCTGACCAGTTGTTAAACTTAGCTAGCCAGCTTTTAGGTGCTTTCCAGCTACAGGAACCCTGCTGAGGCTGTTTTTTTATGGCTGTCCCATCAATAGCAAGACTTTGCCCATGCTGAGCCTTCCTTCTCCTCCAGGGCTCCTCTACCCTCTCACAGTCTGGTTTGCAAAATCCCTCCCAGTCACCTCAAGAAGGTATTGCCTCCCAGCTCACTGCTGCCTCCTCCTCTTACATCCGCAGTCTCTGCCTGGACACTTCTCCTCCTTGTGCAAACCTATCTGTGCCTCCCTTTGCCACATGCAAGCATTTCCTTCCTCCAGCCCTCATGGGTAATGCCATCCAGAGCAGGTTAGCTCATCTGGCCTCTGACACGCCTGCACAGCCTGGGAAAATGAGGTTATGTGCCAGCCCTCATCTACAAAGAAGCTTTGCACAGACACCTTCCCCTGGGGCCCACCTCCCTCACGCGATGCTCAAACCCCACCTGAGCTCCTCGGCAGGCTGGGCCCTGGTTCGCCAGGGCCTCCCCGATCATCCCCAGATTGCCTCCCTGCAGCCGCCCTGCGTCCAGCTCAGGGCAGAGCACATCTTCACGCCACAGGTGTACAGGGTGGCTACGTGCTGGTGGAGAGCAAGCCAGCTCAGACAGGCTCTCACGATTGAGGGCCGTAGCCCCACAGCAGGAAAACACTCTGGAACCGTTCCAAGCTGCAGCCCCACTGGGGGCAGTCAGGGCTGCTGGAAGAAAGAGCGGGCGAGGCCAGGGCCAGGGACTGGGCTGCATCCAGGTTCCTGAGGCACCTGGGGGAGCTGATGGCCTCACTGCTGGCAGGTGTGATTTGGCCCAACCCACCTGCAGTGCCACGGTTTGCCCTGCCGGGCTGGGCCCTGCTGCCAGCCTCTGTGGAAGCTGAGGAATTGGATATTTCACTTTCATTTGCCCATGAGCTGAGAGGTTCCTTCCTTTCCCAAGGAAAGCACTAGGCATGAGGTTACTTCACTGCCTAGGTCCCCATGTCTGGGGTAGGTCACCTTCCTCCTAAGCATGGCCAGTCCAGGAAGTGCAGAGAAGAGCAGCAGCACACTGCAAGCCTGCTCTGGTGTATACTGCTGGTGCTCCCCAGCTAAGACAGGGAGGATGGCTGTGGATCAGCCATAAAGGCATTGAGGGAGTTCTACTACAGGGCTGCAGACCTTATCCCGAGCATCTGAGGAAGAGCAAATCCAGACCTGTGTCTTGGCTTTGTCTCAGGGCTGAAGGGGCTCTCTTTGGCACAAAGCACCTCCAAACACCAGCTTAGGCTAGTTTGTATGGCTGGCAAGGTGCTGTAGGCTACACCCACACTGTGACGCAAAGCATCTGTGAGTATAATGCCTGAAAAATGATACTAGCACATTTGTGGTTTAATGCTAGTTTGCTATTGCAGCAGGGAAAACCTAGGTGTGGTCAAAAGGTAGTGTTGTTATGTTTGCAAAAGATGGCAATAGAGGATGTGGCCTTGAGAAATCTAAATATATTGAGACTTATCAGCTATGCCTATGTCTCTGGCTCCCTCAGTGTCCCTGGCCAAATGCTGCTGGGATAAGAAGAAACAGAATGGTGTTAATCATTGCAGAATATTTGCATGTTAACAGACATCTCTGAGGCAACTCTGAAAGGAAAGAGGTCCATGAAGGGAGACCAGTCTGAAAGGAGCAGCTTTCTCTAAAAACAGTAATGGGAATTAAAGCCACAGAAACCAAGATACGTGGAGAAGAGTTCAAGGAGACAGATGAAATTTGACAGCTGTAGTAGGTGCAAGACAGCATAACAATGCAGCAACGTCATGCTGTAAAGGTCTCCTGGCCCAACAAACCTCTCACACGTCACCCTACTTATTATTTGTCAATGTTTTGTCTTAAGCAGCTCAGGTTATTTGGCTCTGTTTGGAAGCCTAATGGCAGGAAATCTCTGGAGCTGTTTACCATTCACCTGTAGCCCCAGCTCCTCTTTCTTTTTCTTCTGGGATTGCTTTCTTTGAAAGGAAAGGATGTAGCAGGGACACTCAGCTGATGTGTTGATGACCTTTTCATGCACTGCTATCTTTCTCATATAGATACCTACCCTCTAATGGAGTACTGGTACTCAGACTTTGCCCTGGGCAGGGGAAGAGGAGGCAATGAAACATCTACAGAACCTGACAGGAGGTCTGGCAGTGTGTAATCTAAAGCTAGCTCACTTTCCCATCACTGGGAAGGCAGGATTGACCCGTGGATCCCAATTCTGCAGGAAGACAGGTGAACAGTGCTGTAGATGACAACACGAAGCACTCCACAAGTCACCCCTTGGTCAGTGTCAGAAACAGCTCTCTGAGCAGCTCACCAGAGCAGGTTGTCCGATGAGCGTTATCTCCTCTTGACTGCACAGGCACTCCTCCTGTTTCCACAGAATGAACAGACACCAGGCCACCAGTTCCTTATTGCATTATGGCACTGACGTGTTCAGCAATCAATAACCTGGCACTGCTGGCGTGTCATGAACACCCCGTACAGTACGAGCATTTCATGTGGTGCCACCCACTTCTTCACCGCTGCAGCAGGAAATGCCCAGCCGCCCCAGCCTTGAACATGTAGGCACCACCACCTGGCATGGCTGGCTCCAGTCCAGGGGGCAATGCCGCTCCGCAGCAGTGGGCACCAGCACCCCACCGCTCTGTTGGGGGCTACAGAGAGGGCAGGGAGGGGTTGCGAGGGCCAACCAGCAGGTACAGACAGGACTGTTCTGTGGGGAGGAGCCAGGCCACCACAGCGAGCCTCTGCCATCAGTGGGGCAGGAATGGCCAGCTCTGGTCTGTGCCAACCTTGCAGGGCCCGTCCTGCCCCCCAGGCCTGGTGGGTGCCTTTGAGGGCCTGCGGCACTCTCACCCCATCCCTGCTGGTGACAGGGCAGACCATGGTCACCCAGCTGCAAGGCAGAGGCCAGCCAAGCCAGGCCTGGTGCAACAGGACCATAGTGCAGAGACTGACACGTCAGAATGTTTATTAATAAAAAAAGTCACAATAACTTACTCCCTTTGTCATACAAAGGGCTCAGTATAAAGAGCTCTTTCCTCCTAAGTTAACACAGGTAAATGAGAGGTGGGTACTTTTCTCTTGTCCTCCAAGACAGCAGCTTTCCCCTGTCCCCCAGGATAAGTGCAGCCAGCGCAGGAGCTGCTGGCCACGTGGGGCCTGAGCCGTGGGGCCTGAGCCGTGGGGCCTGGCACAGGAGCAGCCATGTGCCCCTGCCTGCAGCTGGTTCACGGGCAGCGCAGACCAACACAGGGTGCAAATGCAGAGTACATGGAGACCACAGGCACTGGATGCCAGAGGGTGTGCAAGCTGCAGTGGAGGAGGAGAGAGAAGTGGCTGCTTCTTCCCATAGTGCTAAGGGGTCTGTGGAGCAGAAAAAGTGAAGCAGCAGGACAGTGGCTGCGTGCAGGCAGGGGGATGTGGGGCTGGCTGGAAGCAGCCATGCCTGCCTGGCTGCTGCCTCACACAAGGTCTAGCCTGGCAGAGGCAGGAGGCCACCTGTGGCTACTTGTCACACTCCAGATCCTGGGCTGCCTCAGCACCCTGGTAGTGCATCTCACAGAACTCCTGAATGCGACTGCAGGCCTCCAAGATCATCTCCTCAGGCACGGTGATCACCACGCGGAAGAAGTTTGGGTACTCAAAGCACTGAAATGAGAAAGGATGAAGCTGGCAGATTGCCCGGGATAGTGCTGTAGTTTCAGAGCCCTGACTTGGGGCCACATGCTGTGTCAGCAAGTGAAAATGGTCAGTGTAGGACAGACTGGAGGACTCATGTCTGGGCTCTTGCTCCCTTAGACTGTTTTTTTCTGTTTCAAGAAAATCTCCCATCTCCATCTGTGCACACATGATGCTGTGAGTGTGACAAGCCAAAGGGCACTGAATGGTCTGTGTCCAGACCCAGGGAGTAGACTGGAAGGAGCTAGGAAAGGAGAGGAACTGGAGAATATCCAAGGCCCCATCCATACTCAGTGCTGGAAGTGGAGATGGAAGGAGGTGGAGACGGGGCACAGATGTTCTCAGCCTGTAGTCCACTCCTGTGCCTACAGGGCTGGGGACTGGAAACAGGGCAGAGAAAGGAACATAGGTGGTAGCAGTCCCAGGCCTCTGAGGGAGCGGCTTCAGCAAGGACGTGTGGGGGTACATAAGTTTTGGGGGGTACATAGGGTTGGCTCTGCCAACTTGAGAAATACAGAGCAAGCCTGGAGCTGGGAAGATCCTGGCAGCCTGACTGAGGGCTGTTAGTGAGCGGGAGACTGCCAGCCCCCATCCCTACACTCTGCACTTGGAGCTCACAGCCAGCACATACACACCACTACAGACCATGGACGCTTCACACACAACTCCCAACCTGTCCCCAGAGCTGAAAACCCCTGTGGCTTCTCTCCTCATGCTTTGGCCCCACCGCTCCCTGGGGCTCTCAGTATTAGGCTTACCGTGGCTGGCAAGCAGAACACAGACTGCTCCGAGATGAGTCGCTCCGTGAACTCCACATCATTTTCAAACTCAGGGAAATGCTCCATCTCAATCTCAACCTGCAGCAGAAGGATGTAACATGGCAACCAAGGGAACCAAAACTATCTGCAATATCCCTGCTTACCCACATGGCCCAACAACTTCCCAGTCAAGTGCAGCTGTCTGCCCTCAATTTTTGCTTATGATTTGGGCTGACTGCAATGTAAGACACAAATGGAAACATAAATGAAAATTAGGGCTTCTTTAAGAAGCATTCTTTAAATACCTAAAGCGGAACTTTCAGTTCAGGACAACTTCAGCAAAAAAGCTGATGGCAAAGATACAGTAACCAATTAGAAGTGAAAAGGAATAAATAAGATATTGAAAAAGAACTTGTAAGAGAACTCTAGTCAATATGCATTAATAATTCTGTCATGCAAGAAAATCCATACGGTAAGAAAAAGACAAATTAATGTTTTGTTTTTTAAAAAGGAAAGATAGCAAGGTCTAGAATATCACCAAAAAAAAAAAATCCTTGCAGGATAATACAGTTGGTAAAATGACACAGAAATGCTGAAGTGTTCAATAAATATTTCTGTTCTGTATTTGGAAAGAAGGAGGCTGTCCCTTTATTACATAAGGACAGTGGTATCCTGGCATTTATATATAACCAAAGATTATTTTAAACATCTCATTAAAATATTCTTAAACAAACCAGGTGAGAGATAATTTGCATGTAGAAGTTCTGAAATAGAGTTGGTGGAAAAAAACATTTACCGGATTATTTGAAATAAAAATTTACCAGATTATTTGAAATAAATGTTCAGATACTGCAGAAATACAATAGATGTGAAAGAATCTTGAGAACTGTGCCTCTACACAAAGAGCATGAGCAGAATGACCTGTGTAGCTCTGGCTAAGACTGTAAACAGGGTAAACTGATAAAGACTTATCTAAAGAACATAAGTAAGTGAGACGAATATTGTAGTATTCTCCAGTTCTGGGTCCACATTTTTAAAAGACGATGAAAAACTGGAGACACAACGAAACAAACAAACAAAAAAGATTAAAAATGTATTAAGAGACTTAAATGTCTCAATTGAGCTTGTTGAGATGAAAAAGGAAACTTCACCACATCATAAAAAGTTAAAAAAACCACATATGGAAAACGGCAGAAAAAAAGGGAACTGCATAGGCAGAAGACTACATCTTCAACGGGAGGTATGATAACGTGACTTGTGGTGTAGGGGCTTCCCATTGCCAGCAGGCTTCAAGTCCAGGTAAAACTACATTGTCTCACAAAGTACAAGTCATTGGGTTCTGTGCAGGTGCAAGTGGGTGCTCACCAACCTCTGCTCTGCAAGAGGTGAGCAGCATATTCTGGCCTTCTCAAGTGACCAAGGGATGCGACTACCAGGCAAAGTGAAAATGCATGGTAAGAGAGACGTGGTGCTGAGCACCAATCTGCAATCACCGACAAGCACTGGCAATGAGACCCAGTGTGAGTGTTGATGATCTGGAAATGACATGTCACTCTCCTTGCTTACCATAAGGTACATGGCTCCGGCGGGCCGGACGGGCTGGAGGCCAGGGATAGCTGATAAGGCAGCATAACAAAGGTCAGCATTGGACTGAAAAGTAGAAAGGAGAGATTTCAAAACAGGAGAAATTCCAGGAAGCAGCTCAGCAAACGGAAGCCAAGCCTGGACCAGGACTATAAACAGGTTTGCCCACTGCAAATAAAGGGACAACAAATGCAAACAGCATGGGTGATCATGGCCTTGACTACAGCAGACGTGACTGAGCTGACCTCAGCAAGTCAGCGCCAAACATCCCATCCCCTGGGTCACCAGCTCCAGCTGCAGGGCTGGGCTGCCTGAAACTTATCACAGTCAATATTTCTGCCCCTCTCTCCTGCTGTAATTGGATTTGTTAGGCTCTCCTAGTCACAGACAGAACTGCACCTTGAAGTGAGGTGGGGAGGGATGATGAGCTAGGGAGATATATTAGTCCCTCCAAACAATCCATGAACAAACTGTGCTGACCTGTTACAGCCCGTTTACCTTGAGGATGCTGAGGGTGTTGTGGTAGAACTCGGGGGGTGTTTGGTGCAAGATACGTTCCAGTGCACCTTGGACAATTGTACAGGGTCCTAGGATCCTTTGGCTCAGTCTTAGAAGGCCATCCCTGATCTGCAAAAACATGGCGATATTAGCAGCTCAGACTGTGCTTCCCTGAAGGGACAGCTCCAAAGCCTACTCTCTGTATTTCTACAGCTATTCAGTACCCCTCTCTTCAGTGAGCATATAGAGTACTAAAGAACATTTGCTTGACTATGCGCCAGGTATTTGCATACTATTTACAGTATCATTCTCTGTTCCTCAGTTGCAGATTGTAATACCAACAGAGAGAAACTTTGGAGTTTCCCAATCTGACTCAAATCAGGCTGGAATATAGTGAACACAAATAAAGCCAGAGCTGTTCCAAATACCACTTTGCATTTCCCTCAGGTTTGGGCCCCACAATCCACGCTTTCAAAGCCAGGTAGGGACAACCAACATCAACTCTTCTGCTCACTCAGCTGGTCCGGTCTTCTCCCTCTTCCTCTGCAAAAAGCTCTCTAGCTGGAAAGGTCACTGCAGTAGATGGTTCTTATAACACAGCTGAACAAATAGCCAGATTTGTGCACAGGCAGCACTGCAAGGTGCTGTGTACTTACTTTTAAGGGAAACCATATAAGAGCACATAGAGACCACACATGGACTCCACATGCTGGATAAGCCATGCAATACCTTCAGTGCACACTGGAGCTATTTGGGAAGAGAAGGAATTAGAAGCACACAAAAAGGACAAGGCTTATACAAAGGAGCAGCAGAGACAAGGAGTGTGTTACAGTGTAGATGTGGGCAGGCAGCCATGTATGGGAGCAGATGGAGTAAGGAAGGGACATGAAAAGCCTAGAGGTGCAGAAAAGCATGTAAGCAATTGGGTGAAACCCATGTGGGAGCAGTACATGCCTGTGTCAGTTAAAGCCCTGGTGATCCACACACTGAAGACGCTGCAGGTCTGTTGCCGTGACAGCAACACTCAGCAGTTCTCACCTCATTACCAAAGATGTCTCTCCTGTCATGAATTAGGATCCAGCCCATCCGCCAGCCAGGGACTAGCCACCGCTTTGCCAAGCCACCGCAGGACAAGATTGGCACGTTGGTGCTGAGAGTTGCAATGGGTTCATATTTGCAGTCAGCAAACACCTGTGACAGAAGGCTGTGTTAGGTAGGGCTGTCCCTGCCACTCACTGTAAGAGCTGTGGGAGTGTGCATAAGGCAGGGAAGTGATGGAAAGTTGATGGTGAAAGCTTCTAGCTTCAAGGTGTGAACATGGTAAGTGCACTCACATGAAAGTGAGCCATTTGGAAAGAGGAAAGGAGCTTGACATGAGAGGTACCCCCAGGACTGCACAACAGAGGACTGGGAGCTCCAGGCATGGACTCAGGCAGAGTATAGGGGAGTGGAGCTGTCGCTCACCTCTGGAGACCTGGCTGCCATGGCCAAAGGACAAGTGCATCAGAAAGGACAGGCAGCATGAGGGTGCAAAGAACTGCAGATGACACTCACCATGTCCCCATAGATCTCGTCAGCAAGGATGGGCACGCACTGTCTTGATGCCACTGTGGGAGAGAGAGCATTCAGCCTGGCCACCCTGCATCCTCCATGAGAGCAGACTTGCCCTTTGCTGCAGGGCCTGGCAGGGCTCTGAGGGAAGCTCTGTCCCAGGGCGGAGGGTCCCTATCCTCTTCCTACAGACCATTCATTCAGAGAGGCCAAGCACTGGAGATCCCTGCCCTGGCTGAGGGTAGTTCTGCTCTCGGCTGTGGGGGCAGGCAGCACAGCCCTCCCACTAACAGCACAGGGCTCGGGAAGCATAGGGCTCCCTTGTGAACACTCTCCCTCTGCAGAGTCAGAGTGGAGAAATGAGTAGTCCAAGCCACACAGAGCATTTGAGGAAGAGGAAGACATACGCTCTGAGTGTTCTTGCCCAGTTAAGGCAACACCTTCGCACTGAGCAAGCCCTGCTTCCTGAGATGGAGTCAGTCATGAGGAGAGAAGCAAAGCCCTGGGCCATGGTGCTGCAGTGATCGAGACACAGGCAATGTGGGTAGACACTAGACTGCAACTGTGCCCCAGATATACACAGGCAGGCTCACCTGCCAGGATCTTCTGGAGGTGGCTCTTGCTGAATACAGAGCCACAGGGGTTCGATGGGTTGTTCACAATGAGGCAAGCTGTCTTCTCATCCACCAGAGACTCCAAGTGCTTCAGATCAATTTCCCAGGCCTTCTCTGGCTAGTGAAGTGAAGAGAAGGGGAAGTAACGTCTGAGGAACTGGACTTGCCACACGGGATGAGGTGTGACAGGGTGCCCACGGTTGCTCAGGTCATCTTCATCCACTTCCCAGGCAGGGCCAGGGTATTTCTGAGAGGTGGAAATGTCAGGGCTGCCCCTTCCAGGCCTGCCACCACTTACCAAGAGGTTGTAGAGTTTGACCTCAATTCCCATAGACAACGCCAGAGTCTTGTAGAGGGAGAAGCCAGGCCGTGGCACGAGGATGTTCTGGCCTGGGTTGGCCAGCACTGCCAAGGCAAGCTCTATGGCCTGGCTGCAGCCACTTGTTAAAATGACATCCTGCAAAGAGCACACAGGACTCAGTGGAAAGCACAGCCACTCTGAAGGGCCCCAGCTGCATGGAATGGACATCACACCCAGGCTCTGCCAGGTGAGAGCTTCTCAGCCAAAAAGACAAGTCCAGAGCCTGACTGCTGGAGAGCTCAGCCTCCTCCTGAGGAGGCTGGAGGAGAAGGGCTCGGGGCAGGGGATGAGGGCAGCAGAAGGCTGCTGCGGGACAAGGCCATCAGTCCCACAGCTGGGCAGGCAAGAGAGAGACTTGGGGCAGGGACCCCATGCTGTGTGGTCTAGGCATGGGCAGCAGCACCCTGCCTGCACTACAGTCGGAGTGCTTCAGCTGGGCACTGGTACCTGGGCCTCCAGCGGTGCCTCTGGGCAGTTGTAGTATGCGGCCACTGCTTCCCGGCAGGACTGGTAGCCTAGGGGAAGAGGAGCCAAACATGGAAGGGAGGTTTTTACAGACTGTTTCCTTTTTCTTGCCAACACAAAGCTCTCAGATGCCGCACAGCTGGGGGAAGCCCATTTGTTATTGACACTGTCCCCAGGTGGCAGACACTGTCCTGCCTCAGGCCAAGCGCCATGCAGCCTCGAGGCTGTGCCAGGCAGGCCAAGAGCAAGGACAGACCCTGGGCAGGAAGGCAGGCTCTGGCCCCAGCATGTCCCAGACACAGAACTGTCAGGAGCAGGGTGGAGGGTAGCCAGGGAGCTGCTCTGATCCAGCAAGGGGCCAAATGCTATTACGTGGCCTTCACTGTTTAGTGATGGCACAGGGGCAGCCCTCCCTGTCAGCACATGGAGTGTCCTGTGAGGCAGGCGTGATCTCTGCTCTGTGCATGCTTTTTGCACTAACTGCAAATGAGGCTCATGTTCTCTGTGAAGTCAGGGAGCCCAAGGGGAGTCCTGGTCAAGGAAGATCAGAAAGGAACTTGGCCGCAGCCCACAGCAGGGAGACACAGTCCTGAGCCCTTCTGGGTGCCCGAAGCCCTGCCTGCTCTAATGGCTGGGGGAGCAAGCACAGCTTCTGCAGGAGGCCCTGGGCCTCAAACAGATCAGGCAGGGAAGGTACACTCAGGTGTACCTGGGGGCTACACGTGCTTGCGTGCTCATGGGACTGTTGGTGAGGGCAGCTGCAGGGTGCTACTGGAAAGATGTCAGTGGGGTCCTCATACCTGCTGGGGGGTAGGAGCTGGCACATGCATTCATCCTACTCTCACAGGAAGAGCTTTGTCAACTTACCAACAGATGGAGCATAACCGTTGTAACATCCTGAGTCCAAAACCTCCTTCACAGCTCGCGTGACCTCATCATTTGTGGGAAGGTTTCCAAAGACCGTCGGGTCTCCTTTTCAAAGATTGAAAAATAGTAAAGTTCTCACTGATCCGTGACAGGCACAGTGCTGTGTGGTTGTGTGGCCTATGCCTGGGTGTTTGCACAAGCTTTGTGCTTCAGAGCCCTGCAATCTGCCAGCCACACAGTCAACCCCACTGCCCAGACGCTTCAGCCACAGCCCTATGCTCACCTAAGGACAAGGAGATCATAGCTTTCTTTGGGTTGGGCTCCACCTTCATGCTGTCTACGATGGCTCGGACAGGATTGAAAGTCTTCTTTGACATTTCAGAAGCCCTGATAGCCCATCTTGGCTTCCGGCCCTTCACTTTCCCCAGCGATATGCTGTTCCCACTGGTCTTGAGATGAACATCCAGCATAGGGGCATGGTCTCCGTGGCCATTCACTTGGATCAGGTATGAGTCCATCCTGAGAGCTGTCAGTGTGAAGTGGATTTCCTGGGCTTAGTTAACACATGCCAAAAAAGGGATTTGCCCATTTAGGGACACAGCCTATGACTCTCCAAAAGTAAAACTTCTGAAATAGGTAGACCCTACCTACTACCTGTGGACAACTCAGCAGCAGCAAGTAGGGCTGTAAGTAGGGCCAGGATGGAGTGAAACCCCACACATAAGTGAGAGCACAATGTAGTGGGAAAGATAAAGGCGCCTCTGTGCTCATTGCACTGCTGCCTAGCATGGACTTGCTGTGCTGAGGAGGAGCAGGCCCCACTAAAGGCAGCAGCGAAGAGTTAGCGGCCTGTTGTAGCCTCTGCTTGACTGCAGATTGAATGTCCCACTGACAGAAGGGCCAGGTCACCTGCCTCCTCCCCCTCAGCTATCAACTTGCACACCTCAACTCCTTGCAACCACAAGGATCAGCCCACATTGTGTGTTCACATCCAGAATGTCCCTCCAGTCTGCAGACAGAAATGTGGCACTGTTTAAAACAAATCTCAGATGACAAAAAGGTAGTTCTGGTCCAATTTTCTCAGGATGCACTGGGCAGTGGCAGCATACAGGTTACAGACACGTGCCTCAGCCAGCAGAGCAACAGGGAGCAACAGCCCAGCCCAGAGACCCTAGATCAAAGGCAGTGCTTAGAAAATGGAGCAAAACTGGTACAGCCAAGAGGGAAATCAGGGAGGTGGCACTGCCCCAAGCAAAGGGCCTGTAGTTCTGCCCGAGGCTGGGTAACAAGCAAGGCACAGCAGAGGAACAGCTGCCTTGTAGGCCCCAAAATGCACACAAAAGTAACTTACACACCCAGAGCACAAGTGAGACCCAGCCAGCAAAATCCTTACTTATGAACTGCTGCTGACTCAGAGGTTTCCACCTGCAGAACATTAGGGACAGGACACAGGGCAGGCAGAGACCTCCTGAGCCACTAAGCCAATTCTTGCTGGTGCTAGCACACTATCTTGTAATCCTGCCATAAACTGCTTATGCTCTTTGTACTGCCCTATTTCTCTGCTCCACTGAAGGGCAATTCAGTGAACAGTGGCCCGATGGTAGTTACTTAGCCCCATGCATGCAGATACTCACAACACAGCTATCCCCTTCCTTGCTGCAGAGACTGAGCTGGAAGGGTTGTAGCATTGCCTGGTTCAGGCAGGAGTTGCCATCTGAACAAATTTCTCACTGCTGCAGTGAAGTTTGCACCTAGAGATGCCCCATGATGCTGCTGCAGTTACTCTGCCAGCAGTGCCTCTTAGCTTGTTTATAGCAACTCAGGCTGATCTAACAGGGTCACAACGCAAGACTTCAGCATCTCTGCTGCTAACACCTCCTGGGTCTCCTTTCTATCAAAAGAAAGGCAGCTGAAGAAACATGCAAAAGGGCTGCATAAAAACCGAGCAGAGAAATGAGACACACAGTTCAACAGCAGTGCAGAGTCTATCTCAGCAGAGCCTTCACATGATCATGCAACATGGTTCTCATGCAAAGGGGAGCTGCAGACACAGGCACAATGGATGCCTTCAATGTACACAGCCAGGGAAGATCTCCCCACTTCTCCCCCTGAAAGAAGCAAGGTACCAGACCATAGTACTTTACCTTCTACAGCACAGACAGCGAGACACCAAGAAGCTTGGGGGTTCAGTCCCTACTTTTCATCCAGGACAAATCCCCTTGAGAAGAAATTCTTGCAAATTCTTGCCCATGAAATAAGCCCCAAAACTGGGCGTTGGGACTGAATCGTTTAGCCATTGGCTCACAGAGAGGGCTGCTCTCCCCACCCAAAAACGCCCTCTCCTCCCCATTGCAACTGTGTTCACTTCAAACACCTCGAACATGCCTGAAATTTTAACTCTTTCTGGGGGCAGCCTACAGAGGGACACAGCTGGGCCGTCACCCTTTTGCACCACTTCCCTCAGTCCTCAAAGACTGCAGGGGGCAAATCTGCACAGAGTCCAGTTATTTCAGCCCTAGCACCTTGTAATGCACCAAGAGTGGACTGATGGAGCCCAAAGCCTGCGGAAAGCATCAGTTCATCCTGACCTCAAAGGGTCTGGGCTCCCAGTGCACCAGCTGGGAAAGGACAGTTTGTGGCATCATTACAATCAGGAGACATCTTCCTCCATAGGCTGAAGGGAGGCAGGCACTTCTCTAGCTGGTGTCTTGGAGGCACCATGACCTGAAGGGTTAAAGGAAGCTCAAGGTGCCATGGGTTTAGGTTTTATTTTCTTTTTTCTTTTTTTTTTTTTTGTTGCCGCAAGGCCCAGGCAAACTCATAATTTTGGCAGCTAACAGAAATGATGCAATTCTTCTCTCTCTGATGGTACTGCAAAGCAGAGATGACACCACTCCCAGAAGGCCCTTTTTTGCTAAGTGATGTGAAATCTATGCCTTCCTGTCCCTTGACTCCTACATGCCTGGCATAATGAAGAGAGGCATCTGCTCCCTCTTTGTCTTCCAAGGGCTGCTCCAAGTCTTCCCTTGCTGCCTTGGCAGCAAATGGCTGGAGATCAAAGAGTTGCTCAGGGACGAGAGACATACTGCTAATCTTCTTGCAAACAGACTGCTGACGCCTTCATTACAGAGGCCAGAGGTCACTGTGATTTTTGCCTGTTTACACCCAGCTCCTGCATGGGAGGAAGAGGACCACCTGTGCTCAACCTGTGCTCACTGCACCACCAGTAAGAGGGCTGCACCTCCCCAGGTGCAAGCAGTGGCCCCTTCCCTCAGCGCTGGGACTGGGGTGATGCTGCTGGGAAGTCATGACCTGCCGTTGACCACAGTGCCGCAATGGGCACTGCTAAGGCCACAATGGAGGTAGGGACTCGGGGCTGGAGGCAGGTTGGGAAGTGGTGGGCTGCAGCCAGTGAGTCTGGCCAGAGTCCCCAGCCCCAGACTGGCTGGCAGGCCTCCCACAGCAGCCACCCCCCAGGGGCTTTGGACAAGGAACAGCACCTTTCAAAAACCCTTCACAGAGAAACTTCTTGTCTTGAAGCTGCTTGGACTCTCTTCTGCTGCGAGCTGCACAGTTCCAGACTATTTTCTCTCTTCTTTTTACTGAAGCCTGACATGAGCGACCTTCAGAAGTTCATGCAGGCCTTCTCCAAGCACCTATGGGTTATTTTCTCACTTCCCCCCACTAGCCCCATCTCTTGCTATGCTGCAGCCCTGCCAGGGTTAAATGTGGCACTGGGAGGCCTCAAGGACGATGCTGCATGTTCTGCCTAGCAACAAACCCGCAGGTGACGAAACCAGAGCTCTACCCGTAATAGTGCACACAGCAGTGGGGTTCAGGGGAGGGCATGGTGGAAGCCCGCTGCCAAGAGGGGAAAAAAATGTGGCTCTGGATACATAGGTAGACCCAGTTACATAAGGCTGAGAACCTGGCCAGAAGCAGGGGGAGGACAGTGGTGTACAACGGGGTCAGTGGGTTTATCCTGCTATTACTACGCATTTCTCCTCTCTATGCATGACTCCAGTCCTTGTCTGGATGCTCTAGCATGGGCTCTGCAGCCCCCCACCACCTTGTGGTGCACAGAGCCTCCCAGGGCTGAAGCATGAGCACAAAGCTCAGCACTTCATATTCAACAAATATGGCCAAGCCACCCCTTGAACAGTGCGGTGGAAGAGGTGGCCATACCCTGCAGGATGCATTTCTGCCAGCAAAGCAGCTGGCTGTCTTGACTGTCAGGACTTCTGTACCCCACTAGCCCTGATTAGCCTCCCCCCCTACAGTTTGCTCCCCAGTCTCAGCAGCTGCCCCCCCTCTTCAGCTCCCTCTTTCCTGTGTAGCTTGAGCAATTGATTTTTGTCTCTTCGGCAAGTGGAAGGAGAAACTGATGATGGCTTCAATGTTTTTTTTCGTACTGCCTTGCTTTGGTACCAGGACTGCCCAGAGTCCCATTTCTGTGAACAGAGGCCAAGCCTGCAAGAGCAAGCAGCAAGCGGTTCCCTCTTGCAGGACCAGCCACAGTCAAGACAGGGCTGACAAATGGCTGCTCGAGCGGAGCAGAATCTCGAGCACCACTGCACTGGCAAACCTGTGTTTCTGTCAGGCTGCAGGTAGGACACGCACCTGCAGAGTTTTACCCATGTGCCCTGAACACCCGAGCAGAGTGCACAGCTCCAGGGACAGACACCCAGCTGGTGCTCTGCACAAAAATGCGCCAGAGTCAGTAACAAATCACTTTACTAGTTCCTCACTTTTTGCTTTTGTTTTCAGCAATTTCTGCCTGCTCTTTTCTGACACTAGTATGGCCCCATCAGTTCAGAGCTGGTATCCACAAATATGCATGTAGCCTAGTCTCTGTTTGGTCTCTGCATTTCCAGTTGAATCAGCTTTTAATAGCCAAATATGTGATTTTTCCTTTTTCTTTTTTTTTTTTAATCAATTTATTGTTATTGTCTCATTTAGATGAGTAAACAGCCATGAAGCCTCCTTGGCTCATGAATTTTGTGACTGTTTATCAATTCCCACAGCGTATTTATCTTTATAACACTGCAGCAGGCTTCCTGAAATGCAAGGGACAAACCTTGTGCATTACAGGTCAGGTCACATGGGCACTCTGAAAATGCACATACTCACAGTTGGATCTGCCTTGCGGTGTGAGCAGGGCTGCTGTGCCAAACCTACACATATTTGCATGAGTCTCTGATCAAACCGTGATGATGGTTGTGCCTCTAGCAATCTTAATTGCCCAGCATTCACCTGAAATGGAGCATAGCACCTACCATCTCTTTGGATAATCAGAGCAGAAAATAATCTCAAAAAACCCCAGCTAGGTTCTACAAAGCCATGCAAACACTGTGTTTAAGAGCCAGAAAGACGAAACAATTCACACAGAGTGACTCAAAGCTAGTAACTGACTCAAAAATACACAGTAGCTATTTTAACCTATCTGCTGGTACTTAGGATCAATTTTGATTTTTTCTCAGAAATAAAAAATGTGAAAGACATCAAAAGGTAAATTGCACAGTCTAGCTAGAGCCACTTCATTCTGGAAAAGTAGCCTGTGTACAGCAAGCAGTTTGACGGTGCTTTTGCCACCTCTGTGAGCTGGGCTTTGGAAAGGGGAGCACTGACAGCTGGGGCCTGTCTGATCTCTGCACTTCGCCTGAACGTGGAACAAGGTGGCTCACACCACCCACGAACGCAGGGCGTTGTAGTAGGGGTAGTGACAGCCTCTCTAGGCTCCCAGCAGAGTGATCTTCCACAGCCCCTGGGCCAGACTGAAAACAGATGCATTAATGCACCTGCCTATCTCCTACAACTGCAATTTCCCTTTGTCAAGAAAGCTAGGGAATGTAAAAACCAAATGATTTCATGACCATGGCACCAATACCAGTCTCTGCAAATGCAGTGCTGCAACCTGGTACCAGCTGCGCTGGGCAATTCAGACGCTGTCCCCAGCCACGGGCGGTTGCGGCGCTGGGGAGGGGGAGGAGGCTGGCAGCTATGAGGGCACTTGCACACACAGCTGGGGCCCTAAGGCCGTTGCAAGCATGCCGAGAGACACAGAGTGCACTCCATGTTCGTGGAGAGCTGGAAGCACCGGTGCGCTACAGGCCCAACAGCCACAGTGAAAGACTTGCAACCGCCGATACAGATGCCGAGAGGAATGCTCCAAGTGTGAGCACTAGTAGCTCCTGAGTATAGGCACAGTGAAGAAAAACGCCTTGTCCAGCCTTGCGTTTTGCGTACACCCAGGTAAACATTATGTAAGTGCATACCCTGTGTTTGAGTTATGACTTCAGAGACTGGAGCTGTTGCGTGCTTTGTCGTGGCAGCTGCCCCCTTGATGGCCTTGAAGCCACGGGAACAGTGACCAGCCTGTGCGGATGGGTTGGAAAGGGGCATGGTGGCTTTGCGGGGCAAGGCGGCACCACCAGCTTGCAGCGAGTGGGGTAGGCAGCAGCCACCTCCTTCTCTCAGAGCACAGAGAGGCCAGCCCCTCTCATGACTGAATTTGAGCCCCAGTGATGGAAACCCACCGCCTGCCCAACCCATCTGCTCCAGCAACAACTGCTCATCTCCTTACAAAGTCGTGGAGTTGGCGTGTGTAGCAGAAGTATTGTCTTTTTTTGCGGGTTCCCAACAACATGCTTTTTGCTTCAAGCTAAGCTCACTGCTTCCTGACCATGCCAACAGCAGATAGGGAGAACAAAATACTCCCCTCCTCTTGACAGCAGCTTTTTACAAATTTGCAACTTATTAAGATGCCTCCCTATTAACAAGCTTGCAAGTTGTTAACAGACACCTGTTCTGCCAGATGAGAGGACTCGATCAATCTTTTTCTCTTAGGTTGTATTTCTAGAGCTTTCTTTTGCTTTCCTCTGGATCCCCTCCAGCTGATCCACTCATCTCTGAAAACACAGTGTGCAAGACTGGAGGTCTAACCAGCGCTGAAGGGGGGGCAGAAGAATTTCTTCACGTGTCCTACATGTGACATTCCTGTTTATACACCCTAGCAATGTTAGTTTTTTTCGCAACAGGATGACATTGTGGACTTGAGTTCAGTTTGTCATTCACAATAACCTCCAGTTCTTTTCTGCAGCACTGCTGCAGCGTCATCGTGCTGTGCTCATTGTTCCTGCGGTTATTTATTTATGTGGGACAGTCAATAAATCTGGCTGTAGTGTTCAGCAGTTGATTGTG